GCAGTAGCATAATTTATCTATGTTTTTTGTTTGTTTTGTTTTTACTCAAGAGTTTGTGCAATATTATTATTTGACTTATTGATTTTGCACACTGCACTATTGTTGCAAAGCACCTCTTAAGTTTTGTGCACCAGATGGATGTAAAAACTGCATACTTGCATGCACCAATAGACTTTGAAGTTTACGTTGAGCAGCTGGAAGGCTATGAAGTAAAAGAAAAAACAGATGAGAAACTGGCCTATAAGCTGGAAAAGTCACTTTATGGGCTTAAACAGTCGGGCCAAAACTGGAACAGGACATTACATGACTATTTGACAGAGAACGGTTTCATGCATTGTCCTGTAGATCATTGTGTTCACACAAGGAAAACAAGAAAAGACAAAGTGATCATGATCACTTCCCTTCACAGTTTTGAAAACTGGAATGTGAAAGGAATGCTAACTGCAAGGTTCAAAATGAAAGATATGGGGAAACTCAAAAATTTTCTTGGTATTGATTTTGAGCAAACCAAAGATTGTGTAGAAATGTCACAAGATAGATATGCAGAAAACATTCTGGAAAGATTTCGAATGCAGGACTGTAAACCAAGATCAACTCTTGAATAAAAGTTGAACTACGATGATGATGCTGTAGAACAATGTCAGAATGTACGGAGAGGCAGTAGGTAGCCTCATTTACTTGTCCTCTTGCACACGACCAGATTTGCGTTTTGTTGTGAGTAAGCTATCACAGCACTTCAATGAACCAACTTTGGAACATTGGACTACTGTGAAACATGTTCTGAGGTATTTGAAACATTGAAAAGACAAGACATTGTGCTACAGGAAAAATGACAAAGATTTGAGAGTACAAAGTCAGTGACTCAGATTGGGCTGCAGATGTGACTGACAGGAGGAGTACTACAGGTTACTGCATAAGCCTGAATGAAAAAGGTACTTTGGTATCATGGCAAACAAAAACCTCTCCAAAGAACTAGTGGGCTGTTTTTTCTGCAACCACCTTATATTTCAAGCTACAGATGCCACATCTAAAACATTAGACAAACCCATCCTACTGTCAGTCGGTCAACCTTTACCCTTCAGTCCAGACATTTGGCCCTAAAAACCCATTTATCATGACTTTCTCAACCTTTCTCTCAGCTTCTATTGGTGTTGTGGACCTCCTGTCTACTTCAGTCGTCAGCTGTTTGTTTTTTCAGCAACCATGTTTTGAACCATGTGACCCTCCTCCCACACTGTATTCCATCTGGAGGGATGGGATGTTGTTTTCGTGATTATGTATTTTTACTCCGCATGCGAGCCTTATGATTTATTTATTACATTTTATGTGGAGTGAATAAATAAAAAATATATTTATGGTGGTTCCTAGAGACAAAGAATGTACAAACTTCAAAACACGTACGAACTTGAGGTGACTTTTGTTGTGATTTGGCGCTATATAAATAAAATTGAATTGAACTCAGAAGCACGTAAAAACTCCAAAACACATACAAAAGACAACAGAAGTGTTCCAGGATGCTAGGCGCAGTGTTGAGCTTTTGTTACCTAGTGGCTACACAAGCCAGGAAGTACCAACAACTGGATTTGGTGTGTGGTAGTAACAGGTAAATTAACTTTTTTTTTAAAATTATTTGAATATATATGAGAGCTTGTGTATAAATATACAAACCATACATATATGCTTTCAACTGTGTACTTTAAGTGATTTAGGTAGCTCTGTTTTGAAGTTCAGTTAATGCTAGAAATGTGTTTTGGAGTTTGTACGTGTTTTGTCTCTATGGGCCACTGCATATATTTATATATAAACATATGTAAATAAAACCACTTTTTTTTTACATTAGTAATTCCTTTTGGGCATAATTTTATATTATTATTAATAATAAATTAACTAAAGCAACAAAACAACCTGAAGAGCCGGTTCAGAGCCAAAAGAGCCGGCTCATTTTAGTGAGCCGAGCTGAAAGAGCCGGTTCTCTAAAAAGAGCCGGAAATCCCATCACTACATTCCAGGGCCAAACTAATTATTGCCAGAAGTTCAGAAATACATTAGAAATACATTGTGGGGCTCGGTCACTCAGGCACGGCTGGCTGCCGGCGGAGCTCACGGGCGCGTCACTGCAACTCCCCCTGGCTTCTGCTCCGCGGCTGCTGAGTGAGCCCTCATCTGGGACTCTCCTCAGCTCTTTCTGGGACAGTGGCGCGGCTGCCCCTCTGTTGGTCTTCCTTGGTCTCTTGTGTTCTGGGGGCCTCTGGATGTCTGGAGTTTTGATCTCCTCCATACCTGCTTCATGCCCTGGAGGACGGGGCTGTGGCCCCCCCACACCCTCTAGCAGATCATTACATGAAGGAACCTTTTAAAAAACAAAACAAGCGCGTCCATGCTCACAGGTGTACACACGGGTGCTCACACCCACAAACTACACCCTTTTTGGCTCCTACCTCAAAGCACACTGTGTGCTGTCGATCTTACGTGCTGCACAATAATGTTTAATATTTAGTATTTACTGTCATATTCCCATATATCATTGTGATGTTGTTTATTCTATTACTCTCGTTTTCCTCTGCTTGTTTTCTTTTTTCTTTCTCAACAGGTGATCCAGGTGATCGATATATGCATTTTTTTTCTCTGCCTGTTCTGTTGGTTTTTGTCTTTTGCCCTTCTCCCCCGTCCCTCTTCTCAGCTGTTTTTCTTTCCCTCTTTCTTTCTCCCCTTCTTTCCCCCAGTCAAGTCTGTCGGTATTCAGCAAATGAAAATAAAATAAACAATAAAAGGTTAATCAAATGGACCATTACGGCAAGGTTGGGATGGTCAATTTGGTAAAGTAAATCTGTTGGGCATCTTTCCTCGCCTTTAGACAACAATTCTGATGGCAAAAGAGCCAAATGGGACAGGCAAAAAAAAAAGAAAAAAAAAAGAAATACATTGTGGGTTTTCAATATCTGCAGTTTAATTTGGAATGAGTACAGATTTCACAACATGCTTTAAAGGAGATATCTGTCTCTCTGCATACATACATGCACAAACACACACAAAGTCAGAAGTTGGGACACGCCTTCTCATTTAATGTTTTTTTTTTCATCTTAGATACAAACTGAAGACATCAAACCCATATGGAAAAGATATATATAAATCTTATAAAGTTTGTATCTGTCTTGTGTGAAACTTGTATGAAAAGCATACAAGAGTGAAAACAGATATAAGATCCCTTGAAGAATTATATAATGAAACTTGTATGTTTTGGATACTTACTAAAACAATATATGAAAGTAATGTGAAAGTGGCCACTTTCATGAGTAAATCATATAAGTTTTTACTATTTCTTTTCCATATGGGAATATATGAAGCAAAATATATGGAATTATGTAGCAAAGAAAAAAAATTATAAAGAACTCTAACTATGTATTATTTTTAGATTCCTCAGTAGCCAGCCTTTGCTTTGTTGACAGTGCTGCAAACCCTTGGCCTTCTCTCAGTGAGCTTAATGATGTATTCACCTGAAATGGTTTTTACAGGTGTGCCTTGTCAGGGTTCATTTGGGGATTTTCTGGCTTCCTTAATGGTGTTTGGACAATCAGTTGTGTAGTGGAGGAGAAGGTGTGACAGTGTGGGGGTGCTGTGCTGGTGACACTGTTGGGGATTTATTCGAAACTGAAGGCACGCTGAACCAGCAAGGCTACCACAGCATCCTGCAGCGTCATGCCACCCCATCTGGTTTGTGTTTAGTTGGACCATCATTTATTTTTTAACAGGACAATGACTACCGTGGAATGGACATATTTTAGCGACCTTTTTCTTGAAGGATGAGGTGCTGGGAATAGAGAATGTTAAACTAACTACCAAGAAGGACAGTGATGAAGTGCTGTGCCAGATTGCCTGGCCTTCAGTCACCTGACCTATACCCAGTCAAGATGGCTTGGGATGAGATGGACCACAGACTGAAGGCAAAAGGGCCAACAAGTGCTCATCATCTCTGGGAAATCCTTCAAAACTGTTGGAAAACCATTTCAGGTGACGACCTCATGAAGCTCATTGAGAGAATGCAAAGCAGTAATCACAGCAAAGGGTGGCTACTTTGAAGAATCTAAAATATAAAACATGTTTTGAGTTATTTTACACCTTTTTGTTTACTACATAATTCCATATGTGTTCATTCATAGTTCAGATGCCTTCAGTGAGAATCTACAATGTAAATAGTTGTGAAAAAAAAGAAAAGCCATTAAATGAGAAGATTTGTCCAAACTTTTCACTGGTACTTATAAGAAATCGAGAGACAGAGAGTCCGATTTTGAGATCTAATTTCTTTACTATAATTGGTCTCTATTTAAGATGACTAAACACTGAAAATCATCAAATAACAAAAAAGTTACAAAGCTTTTCAGAAAATAAATTTTTGCTTTTAAAGCTATGCTTGGTATGTTAAAAAACTGGAAGGAAAAGAAAGACATTACTTACAAAGCACATATTACTATTTTTTTCTTTTCTCACTCTCTCTTTTTTTGTGAGTGAACACAGTGAAATAAAAACGAGGTGACATCCTGATCACGACTCCTGTTGATGCACCATAACCCAAAGGCCAGAGGACATGTGGTGTGGTGGCTCCCTTTAATATTTCCTCAAGTACATGGATCCTCTACTGTCGTCACTTTTGACCTGATTAATCATGCAGATGGTAATGAGCAGGCCCAGCAGCTATAAAGACAGAGAAGAAAAATGATCAAAATGTATTGTTTGTATGTACTGCTCCAACACTGTAATGACTGGCTTTTACTCTAAAGCTGAAGAGTTTCCAGCTTCATGCTAGTTAAAGTTGAAATCAGGAGGCTAATAAGCTACATAAGATAAATGAATATTATAGATTAAATTAAAAAAGAAAAAACATTTGAAATGTAAACGTTTTGGCTTATCAAGTTTGCAACAAAGTGGCCAAAAAAGTGGACAATAAAGACTGTAACGCATAGATCAGAATAACATCTTCAAATTCCATATTTTGTTTGATTAGCAGTCCATTGACCAGAGTCAAGTACTATGTTAAAAGGATTTTTCACTGTTGAACAGTTATTGAATGTACAGGTTAAAGGAGTCAAAGGTGATTTTGACAAAATCTTAAAGAACAACAGAGTCAGTGACACACAGAGGTAACCATGGCAATAAAATAAAAAAACGATAGAGCTTACTGCTATAACAGCAAATCCAAAGAAGAAGCCAAACATGATGTTAAAGAAAAGGTTCAAAAGTTCAAGGATAATGTCATAGCAGGGCTGCAGAAGAGAAGAGAAAATGGTAATTATCTGACCAGCAGTACAGTGTACAGTGTTTTGATTGGCTGGTAGGTCAGATGATTGAATACCTGTTCATAGATTTCATGTGGGCCACTGGTTCCCTGCAAGAACACAAGAGCAAAATGTGGATGTAAATAAAAACAGTCTGTTAATGTTTTAGGTTGTTTTATTCTGGTGAGATTACACTCACCAGCCTCTTTGTTAGATACTCATGTTCAACCCCCCATCAATGCAAATCTCCTTCAATTCCGATTCTTGTTCATGTAATATAATATAATATACCCCTCCGCGAATCACTACCTTATCATGGTGGAGGGGTTTGTGTGTCCCAGAGATCCCAGGGCCTATGTTGTTTGGGGGCTTTTGCCCCCTGGTAGGGTCTCCCATGGCAAGTTGGTCCTGGGTGAGGGACCAGGCAAAGAGTGATTCAGAAGACCCTTATGAGAATATCACCGAGGGAACAGTTTACCCTGCCCAGGATAAGGTTACTGGGGCCCCGCCCTGGAGCCAGGCCCGGGGAGGGTGCCTGAGAGTGAGCGGCCCGGCAGGGCACAGCCCGAAAAGGGGACATGGGCCCATCCTCCTGCAGGCCAACCACCCTCAGGAAGCGGCATAGGGGTCAGGTGCATTGTGCGCTGTGCGGCGGCCAGGAGCAGAGGTCCTGGCTGACTGATCCCCGGCAACCAAAACTGGCAATTGGGACATGGAATGTCACCTCTCTGGGGAAGGAGCCTGAGTTAGTGCGTGAGGCTGAGAGGTACAAGCTAGATATAGTCGGGCTCACCTCAACGCATGGCTCGGGCTCTGGAACCAATCTCCTGGAGAGGTGCTGGACTCTGTCTTAGTCTGGAGTTGCCCCTGGTGAGAGGCAGTGGGCTGGGGCGGGTATTCTAATATTTCCTCGGCTTGCTGCCTGCACGTTGGGGTTCTTGCCAGTGGGTGAGAGGGTTTGTTCCCTGCACCTTTGGGTCAGGGAACGGGTCCTGACTGTCATCTGCGCTTATGCGCCAAGTGGCAGCTCAGAGTATCCAGCCTTTTTAGAGTCCCTGTGGGATGCTGGAAGGTGCCCTACTGGCAGACTTCAATGCTCACATGGGTAACGACAGTGTGACCTGGATGGGCGTGATTGGGAGGACCGGCCTCCCTGATCTGAACCTGAGTGGTGTTTTGTTATTGGACTTCTTGCAAACCAAAGTTTGGCCATAACGAACACTATGTTTGAACATAAGAGTGTCCAAAAGTGCACGTGGCACCAGGACGCTCTAGGCCGCAGGTCAATGATCGATTTTGTAGTCGTAGCACCAAACCTGCAGCCATGTTCTGGACACTCGGGTAAAGAGAGGGGCTGAGCTGTCAGCTGATCACCACCTGGTGGTGAATTGGATCAGGTACCAGGGAAGGACGCTGGACAGACCTGGCGTGCCTAAACATATAGTGAGGGTGTGCTGGGAACACCTAGCAGAGCCCCAGTCCGTGAGATCTTTAACGCACACCTTCGGCAGAGCTTCGATAGCATTCCAAGGGAGACTGGGGACAATGGGTCCGAATGGACCATGTTCAGCACCTCCATTGCAGAAGCTGCTGCACTGAGCTGTGGCTGCAAGATGGTTGGTGCCTATCGTGGTAGTAACCCCCAAACCAAATGGTAGTACCCAGAGTTGAAGGGAGCCACCAGGCTGAAGAAGGAGTACTATTGGGCTTGGTTAGCCTGTGGGACTTCGGAGGCAGCTGACAGGTACCAACAGGCAAAGCAGAATGCTGCTCGGGCAGTGGCTGAAGCAAAAACTCGGGTGTGGGAGGAGTTTGGAGAGGCCATGGAAAAAGACCTTCGAATTGCCTCAAAGAGATTCTGGCAGGAGGGGAACGCGGTGCTCTACCTGTACTGTGTATAGTGCCGGTGGAGCGCTGCTGACTTCGACTGAGAAAATTGTTGGGCGGTGGAAGGAATACTTCAAGGACCTCCTTAATCGCACTGGCACGTCTTCCATGAAGGAAGCAGAGTCTGGGGCTGAGGGGGATGACCCGCCAATTTCCGGGGGTGAGGTCACTGAGGCAGTTAAACAACTCCTTGGTGGCAGAGCCCCTGACGTGGATGAGGTCCGCCCTGAGTTCCTGATGGTTCTGGATGTTGTAGGGCTGTCCTGGCTGACACGCCTCTGCAATATTGCATGGACATCAGGGGCAGTACCCGTGGACTGGCAGACTAGGGTGGTGGTCCCCATTTTTAAGAAGGGGGACCGGAGGGTGTGTTCCAACTACAGGGGGATCACACTCCTCAGCCTCCCTGGGAAAGTCTATGACAGGGTGCTGGAAAGGAGACTCCGTCTGTTAGTCGATCCTCGGATACAGGATGAACAATGTGGTTTTCGTCCTGGTCGTGGGACACTGGATCAGCTCTTTATCCTCTCAATGATACTTGACAGCGCATGAGAATTTGCACAACCAGTCTACACGTGTTTTGTGGACTTGGAGAAGGCATTCGACCATGTCCTTCAGGGTGTCCTATGGAGGTGCTGCAGGAGTATGGGGTGTCTGGCCCATCGCCCATTCGATCCCTATACAACCATTGCAAGAGCTTGGTTTGCATAGCCGGCAATAAGGGGGACTCGTTCCTCGTGGGTGATGGGCTCCGCTTTTCACGGATGATGTGGTTTTGTTGGCTTCATCGGGTGATGGCCTCCAGCTCACACTGGAACAGTTCGCAGCCGAGTGTGAAGCAGCAGGAATGAGGATTAGCATCTCCAAATCTGAGGACATAGTTCTCAGCCGGAAAAGAGTGGAGTGCCCACTCCGGGTCGGGGACGAGTTTCTGCCCCAAGTGGAAGAGTTGATGGGAGAAGGGAGACAGAGATCGACAGACGGATTGGTGGTGCGGCTGCAGTGGTACCGGCCCGTCATGATGAAGAGAGAGCTGAGCATAAAAGTGAAGCTCTCAATTAATCGGTCGATCTTTGTCCGTACCCTCAGGGTCACGAGTTCTTTTGTGCACTTTTGGTAGTGAACAAAAGAACGAAATTGCGGAAATGAGCTTAATTCGAAGGGTGGCTGGCCTCTCCCTTAGAGATCTCCCTTAGAGGGAGGTCTGGGCCTCTCTGTTTAGCCTACTTGTGTGAGGAGGCCTACTCATTGTGATGTGGTGATCTTTTTGAGAGATCACCACATTACATTTATTTGTCAGTTGCAGGTCTTTTGCCCACAACCGAGATGACAGACCTTGCCGACCGTACATACAATACACAAACATCACATTAGGGAGACAGGTCAGGCTAGGTAGCGAAGAAAAAAACAAAAAAAACAAAATGTGTAACACAAAAGGATAATACAGGAATGCACAGATATCAACACACCATAGGACAATAAACACAGACAAGCAGCATGGGAAAGTGTTCCAGTGTGTACATCTGATCTGGGACCACTGCAATCTTCGACTGCGCCTTCAGGTGACCCGATGTCAGCGTTGGAGGTGGTGTTGGATCCGGGGCAGGGAGGGTGATGCGTCAGTGAGTGGTTATCAGTATCAGTATATGTATGTGTTTGCGTGTCCATAGTTCAGCTGAGACAGTGTCCTTCGCCCTGCCAGGCTAAGTAAATAGTCTTCCAGCCAACCCAGGTGGCCTTGCATGGAATGGGAAGGAACAGACTAAACACAGTCGTTATCAGGGAGTTTTTGTTCGGCTCCAGCCTTGAGCCCACAGCTGGCGCCGAAGGGATTGCCGGATTATGATGGTAATTTTTCTTTTGCAACAACTCATGAGAATTTCAAAGCTGTTCTTTAACACTCCGACACTGGTCTCTCAATCCGTCCATCGTGTATCCGGCAGGGAAAGTACCTCCAGGGCACTCGGGCTCTCCCGAGCCCAGACTTCTCGTTGAGAAAAGGGTGTCAATAGCATTCAGAGACCAGTTGATCAAATCCATAATTCTCTTTAGGTTTTAGAAACAGACTGTGAGAGTGTGTTCCAGGGAAAGTAATACAAAAAACACGAGACTAGACAAGGACATCAGCAGGGAAGATAAGGGAGAGGAGAGGAGAAAAAGTGCGTCCGCCTCCTCCGAGAGCCAAAAGAGAAGTTTTTCCTGTTTTTCCAGTTGAGCAGTATCTTGGCAATAATCAGGACCACAAGCAGAGGTGTTTTGATTTATTTGGAGTTTGTTTAGTTCTTCCATATCGCCAAGTAAACAGAGGGAGAGGCATAACGGGTGGTCAAGGATTTGGGATATTTTAGTAGTTATTTCTTTCCAGACGTTTTGTATTGGTGGACAGAGCCAGAATGCTTGAAGGTGTTCATCAGTGGTGTTGAGTGTGCAGTGTGTGCAAATGTCTTATTCACTGAGTCCTATTGGAGATAAAGTATCGGAATTTCAGGAGAGGTACCATGCCTCCAAACGCACTCCTTCCGGTTCTCATCTATATATGTTCCCCCAGTTCTACAAGCTGTTCATTCTCGTTTATGTGCCCTACCCTCCCTCTTCTTTAACTCCTTCACTTCTGTTTAGTACATGGGGATCTGCTAGGCCTGGGAACCACGACCAGTCCCGTTTGAGGAATTCCCCAAACCGCAGCTGAATTCACATCCAAGCCATTTACCTATACAGGGAGTGCAGAATTATTATGCAAATGAGTATTTTGTCCACATCATCCTCTTCATGCATGTTGTCTTACTCCAAGCTGTATAGGC